TGCACCCATGATAGACTTGAAGTCTAGGGCATTATGAGAGTGACTTTCATGCCTGACATTACGGATCACCCTTGCGAAGGGTTGGGTTCGGCGAAACCATAAATGAGCAAGAAAGCATGGCTATGTGGTACCACTACCTTGCTCAAGGGCTGTATATGTGGATGAATGTATGCCAAGGGTGACACCCTTGAGGCTGGATACTCGTCATCGCGACGCCAAGAAAATGAATGCCTTGGCCTATTTATAGGCACTGACTACAGCCCAGTTAGATAGGGTAACTGCCCACTACACCCATGATCTAATAACTACCCACTACTTGGATGCTTACTTGGATGTATCTGGACTTGTCCACGTACTAAAGGAAGTTATCCACATTCAGCATGGTCTTGTAACCACCTAGTAACCGTCACACCCCCCTATGCCATGCTCCTACATTTTAGAAGACATGCATCAGTGTGCTTAAGTGGCGCTCAACCGCCCGATCAGTGTAACCGCCCACTCCTTTAGTGTAACTTCCACATGACGTGGCCTTATCCCTTCTGAATAACTACCCACATTCATGGTTACACCTCACTACTACTGGTGCTCTTATTTTATAGGAACCGCCTCCATAGGGCTTAACCGCGTTCCCGTTTGACCACATCAAAGGTATAGTCAAGATAAACGTTAGTCAACCCATTAATATCATGGTCCTATAATTTAGGAACCATACTTAGCCACGTGCCACTTTAGCATAACTGTCCCGACAATTTAGGGAGAGTGGTGTAATGTTGGTGGTTACCTTATATAACTGCCCACCATCCCCACTACTTAGCCAATCCTTAGATTTAAGGTTACCGCATGCAACCACGATGACTAAGCATAACCGTTAAGGAGTCCCTACTATAAATAGTCCACAAAGGAAGGTTTTGGTTAGACCAATCATCAATCTAGGACCTTTCCTCAATATCCAACGCCTGGCCACGCAAGCCCATGGTTCCCCCGAAGGACCCATGGTCATCATCAGCACGGTCCGCACTTGTTCATCCATGCCTGAGCCACTATGGTCTCCACTATAGTAGTGGACCATTGAGACACCTTTACATGATCCCAAGAGCATCCCTTAGCCAAAACACGCACCATTAGCTAGTATGCCCATACTAAGTCCCAAGCCCTTATAAATCGCCCCGCACCAGCCCTAGTCGGGACTATCGAGTCGGTTTATCTTATTGACTGTCCACCATAGCCATTCAAGTGTGCTATAGTCCCCATATGCCATCCTATGTCCAAGACTATGCCCAAGGCCCCTAGCCCTAAGGCCTCCCTTGAGTCAGCCCCTGACCCTTGAGTGAGCACTCGCCCCCTAAAGAGCTTTATTTTGATCTGGCCATGAAATACTAGTGAACACCCAACTGACAATAACACAATAATTGGATCTCAAGCCCGATCCTTGAATCCAACCTTGGCCCTAAGGCCATGTATGATCTATTAAGGTCCTAATAAGTCCCCTTAATAAGTATCAAAGGTTGTTATGGAGTTTTGCTCATCCAAACACTCCGAGGATTTTTTAGTGCACTCGCGCGTGTGCTAGCCATAGGCCCAAGGCCTAGCTGACCAATGCTTTGCTAGCACCATGGTCTAAGCACTTGGGGGTTATCCTTGATAACCTCATAAGCCTTAGACATGGTAGTGAGCAACTCTAGCCTCACTTGGCTCGTTCTTCCCAAATCGAGCACGCACTTGCTCGCATATGCAAGTGGGATCCCAAGGGTCTTGCACGCCCATGCGGGGGATCGACGGCCTTGCCTAGGTCGACCCAAAAGTGACCGTGACACCTTCCCACTAGAGGGGCCTGCTGCTGTGATGGTGTTGTGTCATTAGTGGACGCCAAGCTATTTGATTGGGCTACAAACGATGATGCAGCAGCACTAGGGTCATTGGTGTGCATTGTGAAATGAAGGTAGGGGCTCCTTTTGTTGTATCATTGAGCAACGGTGTTGAAATTTGTACCCACCTGAAACCAAGCAAATCACAAGATTTTATTCCGACACGGGTTGATCAACGTTAGCAAGTTGATCCGTCACATTCTTCAATTCCCGACAATATGATGCAATGCCAAGAAATTTGGAAAGATGCAATTGATTAAACTAATTTTCAAGATAAATGGCCCTCGTTGTTTTGTTATCTTAAAAGATCTCCTTGAGTTTATTCCAAATTTGTTGCACCGTACTTCCTCTACACAATACTGTTTCAAGCAAGTCTTTAGAGATTGTGCCATATATCTAGTTTTTGACAACAGAATCAAGTCTCTTCCATAGTTCATCAGACACATCATCAGGCTCTTTAGTTTTAGGGCCTATATGATCAAGGACATTGAATGCATGAGCATGACATTCAAATAATTCAACCCAATTCGAGTATTGAACGTTGTTACGATCAAGAGTTAAAGGAATCAAATTTCCGATATTGTTAACTCCGAAAGCATGATGAAATTCAGACGAAGAAGATTCTCCATCCTTAGTCATGATGGGCGGCTAGGTGGTGCTAGGGAAGAAGGGTGGGTGACGGCTATGGCTTGGAAAGAATTAAAAAAAATTGCAAAAGCTAGGATTTTAACCTAGGTTGTCATACCGTGTCAGATAGTGTAAAACTCCTTAGATTAGAGTGTCTTGCATTGATTACAATATATAGGGTTACAAGTATGAGACCTAATCTTGTTAGGAAATCTCAAAAGATAATTACATAATATAAACAAATATATCCTACTATAACAGAATATCTAGAATATTAATCCTATATTCTATCAAAAATCAATTGGTATCTTTTACCTTTGGAAAAATGGAAAAGAAAAATCCAACCTTTGTACTTTTTCCTCCTAAAAATCCAACTTTCATTTTATTCCTCAAAAATCCAACCTTTATATCTCTTCTTCTCCAACAGATCCACTTTACCTTTAACCTGTTAAACAGGTAAAAAATATTTTATTTTTTTTCCTTTAATTCTCTCAATTTCTTTTCTCACTCCTCCTCTTTCCCTCTCCTCTCTCCTAAAAAACAGATGCAACCTAACTATCCACCATTACCACCAGAACATTGTACCACCATTGCACCGCCAGAACACCACCAACACCAGCCAACCGCTCTCTCACCGCCACAACCTATCCCGCGTAACCACCTTCATTCTACCAAGAATGCAACTATACATGCCATCTAAAAACCACCCTAACTTGATAAATCTTTAAGTGTACAGAATCAAAAGGAAAGAAATGTACTTCAAAATTGAGAGATAAACCCTCACGCAACGACGATTCGGCTTCTTGAATGTTACCCTCATCAAGCTTAGCTTCAAGCTCAGCCGTTTTCATGGAATTCCCATTTGCACGAAATTCTCTTTCCCACGTTTCTTCTTCATGATCGCTCGAAACTGCTGATTGGTTGTCTGGCATATGTATTTCTTCCAATTCCCAGCCCTAAAAACCTCCCAATTTTCTTCTTCTTTCTTCCTCAAATTCAATTCAATCTAAATCAAAATTCCAACCCAGAAAAATTAAAACATCATATATAACAATATCTCTAAAATTAACATCATTTCATTGCAATGTTGATCAAAATTCATATCATCAATATATAACAAAGCTAAGGTAGAAATTCAGCTAACCAATGATAACAATGGCACTATTTGATTAACTGTTGAATTTTCATTTTTATCTATTTTGCAGCAATTACATATGATCAATCGAAAAATGTAGCAAAATTAAATCACAAAATTTAGCAAAATTACAAAAATAAAATGAAAATTGATGAAAATCAAAGAATGTGAATGTGAATGTGATTAATTAAATTACTTACAACAAAATCGATTTGGTGAAAAATATCAAAGATTGTGAGAAAATGTGATTGTTTCATAAAAAAAATTTGGAATTTTCTCTCACTAATTTTCTCTCTCCTGAAAATGGGAAGAAAGTGGGGGATCCGTTGAAGGTGGCGAGATGGGTCAGTGCTGCGGCTGAAGGTTTAGGGTGGTGGTGATTGTGGTTGTATAGTATTGTGGGCTGTGCGTGCGGTTGTTTGGGCTGAGCAAGGAGCTGAAGCAGTTTGGAGTTGGTGGCTGGGTGGTTTGGAGTCGGTGGCTGCGGTTTGCGGGGCTGGTGTAATGGAGGATAGAAACAGATGAGTTGGGCGGTGGTGCGAGTTGGGTGTGGCTGCAAAAGTAGGGTCGCTAGATAGGGAGGGTAAGGGGAAGATGTCGGAAAGGGAGGTGGTGAGGAATGGTGGCCGATTTAATTGAGGGTGGTGAGTAATGGTGGCCGGATTTAATAGAGGTGGTGAGGATGGTGGCTGGAAAATCTGATTTTTTTTTTAATTATTTTTGTTTTATAATAATTAAAAAAAATTGACCTATTAATAGCTGACACGTGACATCTAACTTAAAACAACCGGTCATCAATAGGTAATGGACCTTTTATAGAAGAGGGGGTATAAAGGATTTTTTAGGAATAAAATGAAGGTTGGATTTTTAGGGGGAAAAAGTGCAAAGGTTGGATTTTTCTTTTCCATTTTTCCTTTACCTTTTTAAAAAATTAATTCACCAAAATTATCACGTTATTTATATTTCAATGCTGTGTTCATTTTTAAAGTCGTGATGTTTGTTACAAATATAAGCTATGTTCTTTCCGCCTTTCTTTTTGTTACAAATTAGTTTTGATCCGGGTGTGCCATGCACACCCGGGTGTACCAACCAACAATTAAATAAAATTGTTCTTTCATCATAGATTTCTAAACCTTTAATTTCCAAACATTCTTTTTATATATATATATATATATATATATATATATATATATATATATATCTTTAAAAGCAACAATTAGTACTCCCTCTGTCCCTAAATTAAAAGCCTCTTTCTCTTTATTATGTGAGTAATAAATGCTAGAAAGAGACTTTGTATTAAGAGACGGAGGGAATACGACATAAGCAATAACCTTTTTTTTTGGGACTACTACTCCTTTTTATACTGATGCAACTAAAAAGAAACGAATGAATTATTTATATTCCAAATAGTATATGCCATGCATTATTCTACTTTACAAGAGGGGGAAAAAAGGTTCTATACAATAAGATTATACTTTAACCTAGAATTTAGTAATAGAAAAACACTAGTCCATCAACTAGTAACTTTTACCTTCTGCAGACGGCCAAAATTTTTTGATCTACTTCAACATTATACACCCAAAATTTACATCAATGAATGCATCATCTAGTAACTCTTTCCAAAAACATCAAATCAACTGACCTAAATAATTGGCGGGTATTTAAACTTGAGGACACATACAAATCATTGAGCAAAAGAAGGAAGACCCCACAACTCAGGCTGAAAATCCAGAAGAGACTGAAGACTGGAGTCTGCCAAGGCGGCAGCATCAGCCTCGGATTGAGACGGGACAACCACTACCTTCATTCCAGCAGCTTTTGCAGCTTTAACACCTATCCTGTTAATTTAAATGACAAAAAATAATCATATTCAAGGAGGATTGCTAATCAAGATTAATGCTTTCATTTGAAATTAATCTTAATTCTTAACCAAATGAAATTAAAATTGAATGTTCAATAAATGAAATCTTAACCACATTTCTGAATTACACTTGGTATTTTGGGCCAAAGTTCTTGGAAGTGACCAAGTTCTATCAGCACAATCCAATCTAGATTCTGTAAATCTGTAGTCTTTTCCCCCTCCATCAAAATGACAAATAAAATCTCAAATCCAAGTAAGATCAAGCGATTCCAAAAGTAGTGTACAAAAAGTCAAGTAGCAGAGCTCAGATGTGTAAGCTAACAGACCAAAATCTAAAAAACAGCAGACCATAAACCTAGTGCATGAATCTCCTACTTACAGAGAATTAACCATTCATAGCTACACAGCTTTGCCTTAGCAATTGCATGATTTTTCTGTGTTATTAGACCTTCAGTTCAAATCATCAAAGTATTTTACTTCATAACAAGTTTGAGAGCAGGACAGCCAATGTTTTTAAAGATACTATGAATAGCCAATTATAACAGCAAAATCTAAACAGGAACCACTGACTATCTGACTCTTTACTCACAAGACAATACCCTCCTGCAAGTAACAAATACTTGAGCATAATATCTGTAGAATAAACTTACAAAGAGTCCTCTATAACCAGGCAATTAACAGGATCCATTGATAGTCTTTTTGCAGCCTCTAGATATCTGACAATCACAAAATTAATATCAGAAGAGAAGAAAATTAGTGAACATCTGGACGACAAATATATCAATACAGCATGTCACATAAATTTAAAACCGAGCACTGAGATAAATGAAATTTAGTCTACAAGAGCTCAGTATAAAACCTTTTTTTTTTTGAAGATAAATAGGAGGATTCCCATTAGTCACAACGATGCCAAATTTGTCAAAAACTTAAGGCACAACAGAAAGCCACTAATGTTTTGTGCCTCTAGATTTGCTTACTCTTGTATTCATTTTATTCAGTTTTAACAGACTGTTCAAGTCTGATTACTTCAACTGCTCTACCTAGAAGACTAGAACTGATTTCAGGCCATAACAATTAACAAATACTATATTCCTTGTCCATCATTTAAAAGAGAATAAAGTGACAAACGATAAGGAGTACAATATATTAAAACATACATAGTATAACATTCTGTTATGTGAATTAAAAGATCTTACAAGTCTGGAAATGGTTTCCCTGATAAAACTTGGTCACTTCCAAGAATGACAGAAAACAACTCCTTCCAACCTGCACAAGATTCCAAGCATTCAATATTCAACAGAAATGTAAGTCTATAATATATGACTGCAAGAAAACTGGTCTAAAGCCCACAAGACAATATTTTCATACAATAACAAGGAAATTTTTTTTTGAGAAAGATTTTAAGTAAGAAAAGGGCTGGGGGAGACCAATAAGGAAAACTGGAAAAGTTATTTTTGAGAAAGATTTTTGTAATCTACATTAATGCAGTCCAGTCAATATAGACTTCTTGATGAGGGAATCCAGCGAAACACAATGTGACCTCATTTGACACATACTTTTCTTATCGTTATATTATAAAGATTATGAGGTACACTTTAGAAATCCATCAGTCAATATAAAGGAAATATGACATGACAGGCTAAATATTAGACCTAGCGGAAGATTATAAGCTAGAAAAGTAAAGCTGATAGCCGATGAGGCTTTCAATTGTTGGCAAAGATATTATTATGTATCAGATTATCAGTCTTACTGAAATCTACATAATTAGCTTGTAGTTCTTCAATTTATTTTTAAAACTAAACTCTGACTCTGTGAGTAGCATTATAATTTTGAAATCAGACAGCAACATTATAAATAACACATTTTACTTTATCAGTCAATCAGTAAAATTAAACAAGGTGAATGTCAGCCAAAACTATGCCCTTCAATACCAAAAAGCATAGACGTGTTTCAATAAATAACAATTATAGTTTTATTGTAGTAATAAAATTAAACCATATAAATCTTTCAATAATAATAAGCATAGGAACCAACTAGTATGGATCATCTTTGGTCATAGAAATTTCTCACCTTTTTGATAAGAAATTTTGGCTTCTATGTATTCTTGTAGTGAGTTTGAGGCAAGAGCAAATGGGATCTGATGCTTATGGAGATGTTGGATAAGGCGATTGGCACCAGGAAGTGCTTTGGCATCTTTCCACCTAAATTATATAAAGAGAAAAGAAGAAAAGTTAAACCTGACCTTAACTCAGGATACAAATAAGAACTTCAATCCAACAAAAGTTTATGGGAGGAGCGTTTAACAATAATAACTGAAAATAGCTTCCTAATTTACTAAACACTTGAAAATCTAACAATATCATGCTGTTTGTTTAGAGATGGGAGGGACTCCTCGGAGTGAAGGCTAAGAATGCAAGTGCCTAACACATCACAAATAAATTCCACATGGATTTCACAGCAGCAAACCATCCTTCAGAAATTTTCTTGAGATGTAGTTAATTGTATACAGTCAGCTTCATTTATCACCCCCAACTTTTAAGAGGCGTCTAAAGTCAATGTCCACTTCTCTTCTAGAGAAATAGTTAGCAATCTTAGCATAGATTTCGAGAACATACCAATTACTTGATATTCAGCATAACCTTCCATATAGATGAGATTAATTTCAAAGGGTTGCTTTTTTTAAGAAGGTTTACTAAGTACAATCCTTAGGCTTTAATAGGCATTAGAGTGATTAGACTAACATAGTCATTGAGCAATGCTCGAGTAACCGAACTCACTAAAAACAGGTAAATGAGACATGTACAAACTGTATGAACTAACATCAGAACTTTCCAAGTTTACCTTATCTTGGAAGTTGGAACTAGTCAAGCAAATTACTTATCTCACAAACTTCCAATTCATCACAGGTAAAGATTGAAAACAGACTAAAAAAGCAACATAAATAATCATTCAATTCTAAAATATAATGAAAAAAAATCACAACTTTAGTATAACACAAAAATATACCAAAACAAACTTACTTAGAACGATACAAAGGAGTAATTTCAGCAATAAATTGATCAGGAGTTAGAGGAAGATCATAATTCTTAACAATTGCAACAGCTGATTCCTTCTGAGTTCTTCCCACTCTCCCATGCTCTTTATCAGTAATCAAAACTTTCCCATAACTCGCCAAATAATCTCTCAAAACACATCTTGTCGCAATTTCTGCATGCAAATTTTTAAAAAAAAAAATTAAAAAAATCAATCAAATAATCACTAAACATCCAAAATCAAAATTACCCAACAAGATTAAAATTCAAAATTTGAACCTGTATCCAAAAGGGTACCATCCAAATCAAGAATCACAGCAGAAATCGTTACCCCATTAATGGATTCGTTGATAGTCATGACTAAGATTTTTTATAGAGAAATTTTGTTTGGAATTGATAAAGAGGATGATGAAATAATGAAACGGCGGTGTATTTATTGAAGGAGATAGAATTATTCTGTTTTTGATAGAAGTATCCGAAATTGATGCTGATTTGAGGTTGGAAATTTGGCAATGTGTCCATCTTATTGAGAATGATTGGGGAAATTTGGGTACGGAAACTTTTATATATACCTTTCGTCTCTCTTTCGAAAATTGTCCATTTTTGGAAAGTATGGCAAACGGAAATAAATTCTTGATTTTGAAGTTGACAAATGAGTCAAGTTTATGTCGTATTTGGGTTATGGGTCGTAAAATTTTACTCTTACTTCTTGCCAAAAAAAAAAAATTAAATAAATAAATTAGAAAAAATTCATGGAAATAATCTCACCTTTGAATCGTTCGTTTTTAATAATCCCATCTTTGGATTATTTTTTAATAATCCGACCTTTACCCCCAATTCTTTTTCAATGGTCCCATTTTACATGGAACCGGTTGAATAGGTTTTTTTTTTTTGGTTTAAAGTACACGTGTCACAACATAATTAGTCAAAAAATATCTTTTAATTTTAATTAATTTTTAAGAAAAGATTATTACTAATTAATTTTAATTAACTAGTTTAAAACTAACTTTTTTAAAAATAATTAAAATTAAAATCCAATTTGGTTTCAAAAAAAAAATTAAAAAAATTGCCCTGAGCCACCAGCCCCAGCCCCGACCACCTCTCTGCCCCACCGTCGTCCCCAGCTCCCTTCCTCTATCCAGCCACCATGGCACCACCTTCTTCCTGCCCACCCTCCCTTACCAGCCACCCTGCCTTTTCGTCCACAACCCACCTGAAACCGGCCACAACCCCACACAAAAACGGCCACAACCCACCTGAAATCAGCCACAACCCCACCCCGAAACCAGACACCCCAAAACCCCACCATTGAAACCCTCACCATAAACACCGACACCGACCAAAACCCTCTCCCCTCTCACCGGCATTGTTCGAAATTTCCTCCCCTTACACTAGCGCAACCCTCTCCCCTATCACGCTACTACCCACCTCCGGCAAAAACTTCAAGGAATCGCCACAAATCGTCGCCGCTGCGACCCAGGCCACTTGGATTGCTCGATTTTCAGAGGGAAAAGGGGTGGGGTGGTCGGATTTGGGAGTAGAAGGGGTGTTTTCAAGTGAAGGGGGAGTGCGGTTGCGGTGGTTTCACATGAAGAGGGTGGGGCTGTGGTGGAAGGTGGGAAGGAGATGGTGGTTTCCGGCTGGGAAGGGTGGTGGCTTGGGATGATTTTTAAATAATTTTTTTTTATTTTTTCTTTAAATAAATTTAACTTTTTTAAATAAAATAAAAAATTGACCAATTACACGTCGCCACATGTCATGTAACCTGTTATAACAGGTTACATGACCGGTTGGGACCATTGAAAAAGAATTGGGGGTAAAGGTCGGATTATTAAAAAATAATCCAAAGGTGGGATTATTAAAAACGAACGGCCCAAAGGTGGGATTATTCCCATGAATTTTTCCAATAAATTACTACTCTGTTTGTCCCTAAATTACATTTTGATTTGGAAATTTATGCGGGAATTAAGGAGGAAAAAATAGGACAAATAACAAATAACAATAATTAGATAATGCAATGGAAAGTACAAAACATTAAATAATGTTTTGGAAAAATAGAAATAAATAATCCCACCTTTGCGTGGTCTGACAAAAATAATCTCACCTTTTGATTATTACAAGATAATCCCACCTTGATATGTCATCTTCTTTTAATGAACCTTGACTTGTTGGTGACCTATTATGGTTGTTATATGCCATGTGTCAAATTTTTATAGGCTCATTTCTTTTTTTATAATTATAAAAAAAAATTAATACAAAACAAAATACTAAAAAAAAAGAAAAAAAAAAAAAACAGCCACCATTTCCCAAACCCTAGCCCCTACCTCAACCACCACCAAAAATCGGTCGTCCACCCTCCTTATCCTTCGAAATCGACCGGCCAGCACCAAGGTTGTGTTTAAGGGGGATTTTTGGGGTAGTTAAGGAGGTTGGACGGAGTTTTTGGTGGTGATGGCTGTGGTGGTTATGGAGGTTTTCGACGGCTGAGTAGGGTTATAGAGGTTTCGGGGTGGGATTTGGTTTAGGGGGTGATTTCGATGGTGGTTTAGGGGTGAGGTTTGGGTCGGGGGTGATTTCAGTGGTGGATGTGGTGGTTTCGGGGGTGAGATTTGTGTCAGTGGGTTACGGGCGGCCGTTTTCGGTGGTCTTCGACAGTTATAGGGGATGTGAAGGAAGTTTTCGGGTCTGGGATGGAGGTTTTCGGCGGCAGGGTGGTGTTTTCAGGGTGGTGGATGTGATTTCGGGGGTGGCTTATGGCATTGGGAGGTTCGGCCAGAGTTTTAGGAGGTTTAGAGTGGCGGCCGATGGGTTTTTGGTGGGCGTAGGGTATGGGTAAGGGATTTCACGGTGGCGGGGGGTGGCTAGTGGCTGGTGTTTTTTTTTCTTTTCTTTTTTTTTTTTTAATTTGCTCTACCTTTTTTTTAGTTTAACTTTTATTATTTTGACCAATTAATGAGTGACATGTGGCTTTAAAAAATTAAAAAAAAAATTAAATTGTTTAACAGGTTGTAAGTCAAATGGTCTATTAAAAGAAAATCACATACCAAGGTGGGATTGCCTCATAATAATCAAAAGGTGGGATTGTTATTGTCAAACCACGCAAAGGTGGGATTATTTATTTCCATTTTTCCTAATACTTTTGAGTAAAACAAAGATAGATTAGTGATTACTCATGACATGTCATGAGAGGAACTAGAAATGGAGGAAAGTTAGGCATTTACAAATGCATAACAAAGGGTATTCATGTAATTATACATATGTATAAACGAATGCATAGTCTGTATCATTGGATGATCAAATGGTACCACTGAATATATAGTAATACTATATATGTACATAATGATATTATATATGCATTCATCAGTTGTACAAAATTTATGCATAAATAGTACCACTGAGAATTCAATGGTACCATATAAACTTTCAATGGAACAATCAACATGTGGTCCCCCATCACGTGATACAATCCGACCAAAACATAGGTGGGGTCCACCTACAGACCTCTCTCTTCCTATCTCTCTCCTCTTTTCTCTCTCTATCATGTGTTTTAATAATATTTTAATCAATGCATTTACAAATGCCTAACTTTCCTCCCTTTAAAATTCTTCATGTCATCAATCCTTTGCAAAAAAAAAAGGACCAATCACATGCTCCTAGTTGAAAATTTTTAACCAATCATATTCATTGTAATTTGGCACAAGGATTCTGAAAAATTAAAGGCTGAAAAAGTACATTAGCCAACCAAACATTAAAAGTGGAATGTAAATACATTAACTATATATTAAAATACAAATGAAAAAGAAAGTGTATTTGAGATATTTAGAAAAAAAAAAAAATTACTAAAAATAAAAAAAGTGGAATGTAATTTTGGAATACCCAAAATAGAAAGGAGGAATGTAATTTAGGAACTGAGGGAGTATTACTTATATTGTGATAATCGTGAGGGAACCCAGGTTTTTCAAAATGATAAACATTTTGTGTTTGTCAAATGGCAATCTGGTAAATAATTTGCCTCGTATTCCGGAATATAGGTATAAAAAAATGTATATCTGCTCAAATGCCAGCTGTGACTCACGGTTCTCAAATGCCAAAGTTGGAAAAAAAAAACAGAACCGAGCAGATTGATCCACCTTCAAATTGGTATTTAAGATCAACTATTATTTCAGTAATATGACTTCTCAGCGGCGACTGGTATTTTATTTTATATTTTTTTGTCCTTTTCCTCTTCCTACTCCATCTTCTTCTTCTTTAATCTTCTTCCTCCTCCACCTTCTTCTTGCTTTGACCGCTCGTGAAACCATTTTCACCACCACAATTTCGGCGGCTTCGCCACTAAACTAAACGAAAACCCTAATTGAAAAGGAGAAGGGTATGGTTAACCCTTTCAGGAAAGGTTTACATCCTCGTGCAAAACTCCGTCCAATTGAAGGTTAATTGCTCACCTTCGTCAATTGTTGAGTGCTCTGATTTTAAGTTCTTGAAGAGGACTAAATTTCAGCTTTACTACAGGACAAAAAAAATTGAATAAGAGAGAAAGTGTTCAGAATTACAAGAAGAGTGAAAATATACTCAGTAAAGCCTTCTAATGTCGTTAAATCAACGTTTAACAAAAATGTCAGTATTGCCCTTAAATTTTCATATGAAAGTACATTAAAACCCTTTGATAAACAAGGCTTGTTTCTCATTCTGATAAACTTGAATTTGTTCAATAATCAGATAAGTTAAATAATGTTATGGGATATATTTTGTGAGATACAAAGTTTGATAATATTGTGTGAGACATAATATTGTACAGTGTGAAGATATATTGTAAAAATATTGCCCTCTATGTATACCTATTCTATAAATTTTGTACGTGGTTTATGGTGTTTAATGAGAATTAAAGAGAATTATTATTGTGACCTATTTTGTGAGTCAAGTATCAATTTATATTTCAACGTATAGAGGTTAATCGATCAGAAGGAGTTGAGGTGAGGATCGAACCCGATCACACTTGGGGAGATAAAGGGACTAATCAACCCTCCACTCCTTGATCCTCAAAAATATAACATTTATTGAAAATTATTAGAGTATCTATTATGGTTAATATTGCAAATTGTTCCTTAATATTGCAATTTTACCCCTTCTAAATTTTCAACTAAGGTGGAGGAATTAGATTTTTTTTTTTTTTTTTTTTGAAGGAAGAAATTAGAAATTATAGAATCACAATTCTTAGTTTTTGCAAAATAAATTACTGTATTTGAAAATGAAAATCGGAATAGTATAAAATTGGAATTGGAATTTCGAGAATTGAAATTACAAAAACTGATATAAAATCCATCATCCCAAACACTTTCTCAACCATTTCTATAGTGCTACTACAGTACATGTTTATATAGAAGTATGTAACAATCAACAAAGTTATAAAAATGATTTTAAATAATAAATAATACTAGGTATTTGTGAAACAAGGAGAAACTTGAGATAATTAATTAATATTCTACTTATATGATGGAGGTATATATACATATATATATATATATATATATATATATATATATATATATATATATATATATATAGGATCATATGAGACCACCCTCCTTATGTGAGAACCCTATTTTATGTGAGGACATATTACAACCGTTGGATCAACTACATCCAAGGGTCATAATACAACCCGGTAAAACAAACAAAACTAAACAAATTTATTTCAAAATTTATTTCCTACGTTTTTTTCTCTCTCCTCCATATTTTTCGCTCATTTTTCTCTCTCCTCCTTCAATTCTACGGTGTTCATACTCTGCTGCTCTCTGATTTTTCATCAAAACGTCTTCATTCTTCATCAATTTTTGTTAATGTAAGTCTATTGTTTGTACATTTGCTGTTTTTCGATTAATTTTAGGTTACATTCATTATTTTATTTTCGTTTTGATGTTCGTTTAATTTTTTCTGATTTTAGCTCATTAATTTAACATGCAATGTGTCGATTATGTTTTATTTTGTTATTTTTTGTTGATTTTAGCTTTATTTTCGTTTTCTTGAGTGATTATCCAGTAAATTTTAGTTTTATTTTGCCTGAATTTTGGTTTTACTAAGTGTTCTTGTTTTGGTTTTGTATTTGCGATATTATGTTGTTTTGTTGCGATTTTTGTTTGATTTTGTTGCGATTTTTGATTGATTTTCATTTTGCTTTTCGTTTCTCATCTCTGATTTTAGGTTAATTTTCATTTACTTTGTTCTGATTTTTGATTGATTTTGTTGCGATTTTTTTGATTGATTTTCGTTTTATGTAATTTCTCAAAAATTTGTAAAATGTTGTTTGTCTAGTATCGGAAACAACAATTTGTAAAATTGATAAATAAATGGTGATAGTACAGTAAGATGCTATCAAAACCAAAAAAATCTATTTATTTCTAATAGAAACATAGCAGTAAAGCGCTAATCCTGAAGGTGTAACTGCATTCTGATGTAGCCCATATTGTTTTGATAATTCTCTAGTATTGTATAAAAGTAATAACTCCTCTGCTTCTTGTCCAACATTAACTCAAGGATGGAAATTAGGTAATGTTATCTTTCGATATTCTTTTTGTGATCTACATTGTTAAACTGTCTGGGTTTTGGATGATATTTGAAAAGGTCTGGAGGAAGGCAGCTAAGTCAGCCCCGTAGATGATTGCTCAAAAAATTTGCTTGTCACTTAAAGAGCATCTATGTTTGATTGCTCATTTGACAAATGAGCATCTATGTTTTTTCTCATTTGACAAATGAGTATCTATGATTTTGCTCATTTGTATAAAATTACCAACTAATTATTTACTTCTTTTTTTTAATTGTTTTTGCTCATTTGGGAGTGTTGAATGTGTTATATTATCTAACCAGTAAAGTCGATGGTTCCGAGTCTTTTGTAAGGTCCTCCATGATGTGTAATTGCACCTTTATGTCAAGTAGTCTACCTAACTTGCTGAATTTTGTTTAATCTCCTGACCTTACTGAGCTTTTCTAGAGCGCTCTATCACTATTCACTAGTTGTTACACTACCTTTCCATAATATTCCTTTCTAGAAAGGACTTCTGGGGCAATATAGGCCAGTGTTCCTACCGTCGATTTTGGTTGAGAATGTATCACTGCAGACTATTATAATTAACAAAGATTAGTCATGATTCTGTTAAGGTTGTTGTGTCTATCTGCGAGGCTGTTGGTGTCTGTCAGTGTGGCAGGTTCTGTGCAACTCTTGTCCTTGCAATCTGTTTCGTTTTTCTTCAGATCTGAGGTTCTGGTTCTGTGTTTGCTTGGTGTCCTCTCTGCTGTAGTCTGTTGTTCTGCTTTAGTCTGTCTGGTCCTGAAGGCTGTTGTGCTGATCCTTGGTGTGTTTGGATGCTGGCTTGGTTAGCTGAGTTCAGGTGTCGCAGGTTGTTGTTTGCTCATGCTGGAGTTAGTTGTTGTTTCTGTTTTGTGTCTTGTTCAGGCTGTTTTAGTGCCTGTTTTTCAGCTAGTTTGTGTTGTTTGTTTCTGTTTTTTTTGTGTTGGCCTTTGTCCTAGTCCTTGCTTGTAGCTCCGTTCAATGAAGATGCCTTCTTGCATGAGGGTAGGTAGGTGCTTTTCCCTCTCACCGTGTTGGGCACCCTTCCTAGAAGGTGGTCGGGGACGGGTTTGGGAAGTAGGTGGTGGTTGTGTGCCTTCGGGCTGAACTGGTTTCTGACATTTGATGTTCTTGGCTGAAGCAGTTCATTGTATTTGGATTCAGAGGAATAGTGTCCTGTTTAAAGGCTCGTGTGAACCTGCTGAGACTATTTTCAGGAGACTGGTGTACAGAGTTGCTTGCAGAAGCACTGAGATTGACAGAAGGAAGCTTATTTGGTCTTAGGGCAGATTGGTTTTCTTTTTAGTTTCATGGTTGTTTTATTGTATTTGCCTTGCTGTGTTGGCTAGTGTGGGCTGTTTGCTTGCTTATCTTGTTCAGGCTTGTTTTCTGAGTTCTGTTAGGCTGTTTGAGCCTGGTCCTTGCTTCTGGTACCCTTCCTAGAAGGTGAACAGTAGCTAGGATCCAGGTTTATTCTTGTTTCAGGTTAGCACCCTTCCTAGAAGGTGGTTAACCTTGAGCCTTGAACTGGTTTTTGTGGTTGTTTGGCCTTGTGGTCTTTGTAGTTTGGATGGGCTGTTTGCTCTTTTTTTTTTGTACTGTGTACTTTTTTTCTTGGTAATAAATTTTCTATTTACCAATAAAAAAAGCTTAATTCATTTGAAATTAAGCTTTAATAACAGAACAAAAATCTAATATCAGAGAATAAATATAATGAAATGTACTCCATAATTACGCATTCTCTCCTGTTTGTTTTGTCATTTATAGTATTGCAGTAAATGGAATTTACTCATTTAAGTCTATGTTTTTGCTCATTTGACAAATGAGTATCTATGTTTTTGCTCATTTGTATAAAATTACCAACTAATTATTTACTTTTTTTTAATTGTTTTGTATGAGCAGGGAGTCTATAGAAAAGGAGCCTGCTGCCGATGTTGGTTCATCAGGTGCTACTGCTGATGTTGTTTCAGCAAGGCCTGCTGCTAATGTTGGTTCAGCAGGGCCTGGTGTTGGTTCATCAGAGGTATTAGTTGGTACTAAGGTTAAAGGTAAAAAGGTTGAAAAAGGATTAAAAGAAAAACAAAAGATTAAGCTGGAGGAGACGAAATCCAGCAACGAAGGGGAAGATTTGAAGTCTCATGTTTATGGGACATTACATAGTCGGATGTCCCCTTCATCCATAGTTCAAGTTATTGAAAAATGTTCAGATTATCAGTTGAAAGCTATTAGAGCAATAGGATTCGGGTCTATGGAGTTCTTGAAGGTGACCCAACTGCCTTTGCAGCTGGGTTTATGGTTGGTGCATCACTTTGATGCTAACACATGCTCTTTAAACATTCCAGATTCTGAACCTTTTTGTATCACTGAAGAGCATGTGCATCAAGTACTTGGGCTGCCAATGGGTGGCATAGAAATTGACAAAAACAATTTTTCCAGAGATAAGAAAGTGATTCAGCAATGGAAGAAGCAATCCAAAAGCAACTCACTCTCTATCAAAATAGGGGAGCTGAAAGAGTTTCTGAAAGAGCATAACTCAGCTGGTCTTATGTTCAAAAGGAACTTTGTAGTGCTATGCGTTTCTGCATTGATGGATGGTAAACTTTTTATTTTTATTTTGCTTATTTTTAGTTATAGTTAGCACTTAGAAGTTGTGTGCTATATATAGCAATTATATTATCTAAGTTGTTGGTCATATATGTATAGAATCAGTTACTTGAATCTATCATCATTAGATAGAGACTATTGACACTTTCAGAATAAGATATATATATATATATATATATATATATATATGTATTTATCTTTTGTTCTATTTATTTATATTTTGATGGATTATTGTTGTTAGTCAATGATGAGATGGGTGAAAAAATTTGGAATAGGATTTGGTACATACTTCATATTAACATACTTGTCAAAAAATTTCAAGTTATATTATAAATTAGTTATATCATCAGGAAAAGGTGGAGAGTCAACATCATGGTTTAAATTTTATAGGAGTTTGCTAATTTTCAATTTTGTTTGCTTATTTATATTATATTTTGTTCATTTAAATTTCCTTTTGTTCATTTTTCTTTTGTTTTGCTCATTTTTTTTTTTCAGGGAAACAAAATGTGAATATCAATTCTGATATTCTCACATTTCTTTCTGATGTTGATAAAATAAAGGACTTGAATTGGTGCAAGTATATCCTTGATTAACTTGTGAAGGCCAAGCTTTTCTGGGAAGAACGTCAAACTCGTTCTTTTCCTGGATCTTTACTGTTTATTATGGTATTACTTTAATTTTTGTTGTTTTATTAATGTAGTATTTTTTACTTATTTGTTGATTTTTAATTTACTAATTATTTTTTCTTACTTGTTTGTAGCTATTGTATGTATTAATTTTTATTTGTTTAATTTTAATGTACTAATTTTTTCTATCTTACTTGTTTGTAGCTTTTATACGTTGATTAGTTTGTCATTGAGGAAGTTAGAGCCAAACGAGAAACTCCAGTTCTCAAAGGTTGGACAACCAATATGTTGTCAAGTCGTGAGAAATTGGAAATTTTTAAGGGGAGGCTTGGAGTTTTTTTATAAAAACCAGAAGCTTGTTGGTCCTTCTGGCAGCAAACAACCAAAACTGGTATTTCACTTGTAACCAATACTTAGTTTTTCTATGTCTTTGGCATTGCTTGAAGAATTGAATTGGAACAAATCTTGCTTTAAGGAAAATGATGCAATGTGGTGCTTTTATAGCACATTAATGGACCTCCTAAATCAGCAAAAAAATATTTGCTCATTTGTCAAATGAGCAATTATTTTTTGCTCATTTGATACTGTGTGATTTGGATGAAAATTACACAATTATGTAATATTTTTTTTTTGTTTTTTTTGTTTTTGCTTGATTTTAGGAACAATCTGATCCAATTCATACAAAAAATGAAGAAATTGAACAAGATCCGAAGAAGGTATTTATATGACTTTTCTGGAAACTTATATTAATTTGCTCATTTTTATATGACTTTGCTCATTTTTTGTTTTTGTTTTTTTTTTCCTAATTTTTGTTATTTTTTACTTAATTGTGAATTTGTATTGTTGTTTTGTGAATTTGGGGATTGCCATGCGATGAAAGAGTAGGGGGTTAAAAGGTTGGGGGTGTGCGAGTTGTTATTAGCCCAATCCCTATCCTCCCTAAGATACATCTTCTGGTTAGCTTTAAACATAAATCTGATTAGCTTTAAACACCTCAGATGGTAAAACCTCCTCATTAACATGTGTAGGTGTTTGCTCATTTGATAAATGAGTAATCAACTATTTGCTCATTTGGTAAATGAGCAAAAAATTGATTGCTCATTTGACAAATGAGCATCTATGTTTTAATTTACTGCATTAAAGGACTTTTAGCTATTGGGGAAATGGATTTAAGGATCCAGGTGTAGCGTTAAATGATCCTCTAATTGTTAGCAAAAGAAAACTCTAACAAGCTGATCATGATTTTGCTCTAAAGTTTGGTAAGCCTTTAAGTATTCAAGATGGTCTTGGCTTCTTTCCATTATTATGAATTAATTTTTTTTTTTATAGAAATGCCTTATGGAGCTTGCAACAGCATCTACAAATCTAGTCTTGGCATACATGGATTTCAGTGAAAAACATGAAACTGCTGTTAAGTATTTTCCAAACAATGAGAAGATTCAAAAGCTGAAGGAAGATGCAATGACTGTTTGTGATGAGCAGAAGATGAGCTCTAAAGCTTTGACTGAAGATATTCCTCTCTCATTTAGCCAAGATGAACAGTATTGGCAAGATCCAGCTGTAATTGAAGCTTGGGATAGGTTTTCGAAGATTTCAGGCAATGACAAGCATGCTGAATCTACAATTTATGCTAGGGTTGATCAACTGATTGAATCAGAACCAATTGATATTACTAAGATTGCTGCTGAATGTGTTGACATAGCAAGTGGTATACCTGATGTTGAAGATCCATATGTTATCATACAACCTAAGGTTGCTGAACATGTATTTAAAAAACTTGGAGAGTCAAGTACGAGATATAGTTTAAGAAGTTCAGTTGCCAAAGGATGTGGAACTCCTTCATTCAGCTTAGGAATCTCTTCTCAAGATGATTCTCATGAGAAGTCCCCCAGCATTGCACCTACTGATGAACCTGTAGTTGCTCCTGTGAGTGCACAAGTTGGTGCTTCTAAATCAGTTGATGATGCTGATGCTGTGAATGCTCAAGAAGACCCAATTGCGCTTAAGAGAAAAGGAGATGCTGAAAATGAGAGTTGTATTCCAAAGAAGCGTAAAGTGCAACCATCGTTGCAAATTAGATCTCCTTTTAAGTCTCGGATTATCAACATATATACACCATTAACAGCAGTTCAGAAAGGTGTTATGGATTCATTTTTTCATGAGAAGAAAAATCGTTTGTAAGTATTTATTCAATTTTTTCAGTTCTGGAAATTTTGGCAACTGACTTTATTTTTCTTTCTTATAACAAGTCTAGCTCTATATTCTCACTTTACATATCTACGATTGAAATTATTTTAACTTCCCTAAATCTTATATGTAGTGATGCAGGGTTTTTATGCAAGGGTGAGCCTGATAATGAAGTAATGCTATTTCAACTTGAAATGCTAAAAACTCAGAGCAAAATTCATGGCGATATCATTAATGCATGGTCTACTGTTCTGAATTTTAATGAGCAATATAAAGATGTCAATTCTTGTGGACGTTTCTTTTTTGGTCTTAATGCTGTTGTAAGTTCAACTCGTTCATTTTATTTTGTTTTATTTTGTTCATGTTCACTTTGCTCATTTCATATAATTTTTTTATATTTGAATGTAGATGTTGTTTTGTATTTGCAAAAAACTATTATTAGTTCTTTGCTCATTTGTCAAATGAGCAAACTATTCAATGCTCATTTGTCAAATGAGCAAAAATTAAATACTGAACTAATTCAAGTCTCTTATTGGATACTAAATAACATAAAATCTTTTGATAAAATATTTGAAATACAGAACTAATAATAATATAAATTCTGACTTCCTTGGTCTGAATCAATGTATAATCAGTGTTTATGAGTTGTATTATGGTCTAATTTTGGTCCTGCACAATTCAGACTCTTATTTATGACCTGTATTATGGTCTGAATCAGTGACGAGTGAGAATTCACAGACATGCTGCATCTATAATTCTATATGGTCTTAAACCAAAGGACTTAATTCTTTATGTTTATGATGCTATCTGACAACTAACATTCTGTATGTTTTGTAATTACATAAATAATTGAATGATAGCTGCAATTAATTCTTTGCTCATTTGCCAAATGAGCAGTTAATTTTTTGCTCATTTGTCAAATGAGCAAAACATTCACTTTCTCATTTGTAAAAAAAATTTCAATTTACTCATTTTATGACTTTTCTCATTTCAAATTCACTTTACTCATTTCTTATTTACTCTTTTCATTTATGTTCATCTTATTTATGTATTTTTCTTTATTTATTTTTTTAGGATTGCCTTTTTCAATACGAAAGTGATCGTGCTCAAGAAAGGAATAAAATGTTTTGTGAGGTTGTGGAGTTGGAATTCATCAAAACAATCATCCCAAAGAAAGATATTGAGCTTTTCTTTTTCCCGGTATTTGAAAAGGATCATTATTATCTGGTATGTTTTAACACCACCACAGACTGTGGTACAATTGAGGTTATTGATTACAGTGAAGGTCCTAGAGAAAATAAGAAATTGCTTAAAAATCTGGTATGTCTTCTGCCACTTCTTCTTCATCATTAATATCCTCATTGATGCCTGCCATGTTGTTACCAGATTCTTTATTCATATCTCCTCTCATTATATCACTGGTACCCTAACCCTTTCAGAGGATTCTCCTCTGAATTTCTTCTTTCTCCCATAACAAGAAAATACACACACACACACTCACGCCAGAGACACACACACACACACATACACAGGCACACACACACACACACACACACACACACGCATACACACACACATACACACACGCACACATACACACACACACACACACAAGCAAAGTCTTAAATAGCTTCCTGTTAGTCTCTGTCTCTGACCTCACTTTGAATCTATTCATGGTCAGCTTGATTCTTTCGGGATATATGACATGTAAAACTTTTCTAGAGGATACTTTCAAAACTCTGTGATTTATTTTTCTACATAATGTGCATCTCTGCATTTGAACAATGTGTTTGAGAGTTTCTGATTGTATACAGGCACACACACACACATACACAGGCGCACACAAACACACACACACACAAATACACACACACGCATACACACACACATACACACACATACACACACACACACACAAGCACACATACAACCTGTACTAGAATCTAAAATCAGATTCTGAAATTAGTTTTTGGAATCAGAATTGTGTAATGTGTGGGTAGGTGGCAGTAATGGCTCAAGATTTTGTTAGATTATTTTAGAAAAATGATTTGAGTTTAGTTGTTTATCTTGATCTTGTTCTGCTTGTTCTAACTATATTTGTTCCACCTGTTTTTGTTCTTATTTTAACTTATTTGTTCATTTTCAGAAAAGTGCATTTTCATATTTCATGAATGGTGAAGGAAGTATACAAAGTGTTGTTTTGTCAAAACAAATCAAGTCTATGGAGTCTGTTGTGGTTGATTTACCTTGGAAGTCTTCAGATGATTATCATTTGCATTGCGGTGTTGTAATGATGAGGCATATGGAAACATATATGGGTTTGCAAAAGTGGAATTCAGGTTTAAAGAAAAATAATGTAAGTCTAACCAGAAAAAGTCTAATTGCAATTTTTATAATTTGATTCTTCTGGAATGAGAAATCTGCACTTTTTAGATTAAAATTTGTGAGCAGCTTGTTGATATACATTCATGAAGCCATTACTTACCCTATACTTACTCTGAATTATTGCTTCATTTTTTCTCTTTGCAGGACATAATCATTGACAAACTTCGTTTGAAGTATACCCTCTCAATTATTTCAAGTGAAGTAAATACTGTTAAACCTGTTAAACAAGTTGTCCAAAAGAAAAAAAAAGGCTGAGGAAGCAAGTGATGCTGAAGAAAGCTAGGGGCAGCAATCCAAGAGCAATTAACGGAGAGAATTGAAGACTGAAGTTGATCAATTGTTCTTAGGATTTGTATAGTTTTTGTACAGAACAATAGAAGTGTTAGTTTTATGATGTTCTTAATAGGACAAATGTGATAAATGTTCTTAGTTGATCTAATGTTTTTATGATGTTGTTAGGATTTTCTAAGTATAAATTTTTCTATGTCAATGTAATGGATATGATTTTCTATCTTATTGACTAAGTTGTTTGTCATTTGTTAAATTCCTGATTAACTATTTGAGCAACTGACTATTTGCTCATTTGCTAAATGAGCAAAGAAATGTTTTCTTATTTTTTAAATAAGTAACTAATTATTTGCTCATTTAAAAAATGAGGAAACTAATGCTTACTCATTTCACAAATGAGCAAAGAAATGGTTGTTGATTTAATGTATTATTAAAAGGAATGTTTACTCATTTGACAAATGAGTATTAACTATTTGCTCATTTGACAAATGAGTATTAACTATTTGCTCATTTGCCAAATGACCAAATTAATAATGCTAAATCTTATATTTATATAAAAATATTAAATTTTATATTTGTATAAAAGTATCATTATACAAATATCAGCAAATATCTAGTTAATTTAGCCTCTATGATTTTGAAGATTAGGGTATGTTCTCTTTATTGAACTCATTGTATAATATCTTGGATTGGACTATTTCTGTTACCAAGGACATTACAATAGCTTTGGTATAATTACATATGTGTGTATGATAGATAAACAGAGCTTGCAAAATATTTGCTCATTTCAACAAAATTTAAAACACAAAATGCTAAATCATATATTTATATAAAAATATTAACTTTTATATTTGTATAAAAGTATCATTATACTTTGTTTGGACAATTTCTAATATCATGATGACTCAATTCACCACAACCTCTACATAATCTCTTCTTTTTCTGGTTTTGTTCTATAACCTTTTCTTTTTCTCCCTTTAGCCTTTTTGCACTTCTACCTCTTGTTTCAACATTTGGCACATCAATCTCAGCCCCTTTCTCTTTTGAAGTCTCTACATTTGATACATGAATTCCAGTCCCTTTATTCTTTGAAATTTTTGGAGGTTTGACAATTATTTCAGTTGGCACACTAGCTCCAATCAATAGCTCAATGTCTTGTCCTTTGTTGTTTGCACTTCCTGTTGTTTCATTATTCCTTGCAATCCTCTTAGCCTCCAAATCCTTTCTTATTCCTTGAAGATTTATCACAAGATCTTGAATATCTTCATCATTGCCTTCTGCCAAACTTACACAAGTGTGTATCTCTGACCATAAATCATTTAACAATTTTTTCTTGTCAATTAAATTAGCACATTGCTCCAACAGGTTTCCACCCAAGTCAAAATTTGGTTTTTTCAGTGCCATAGTAGTCCATCCGTGTAGCATATACTTCTCAGGAATGGTTTCAAACCTTTTTGCTTTCCAAAACCCAAATCATATGTCTACATGGAATTCCTTGTCTATAAAACAACTTGCAAGAACATGTGGTGTCAAAGTTAGTTGGATTAAACACAACATCAAATGTTCTAATCCGATTTCCTTCACTTACTTTTGCAACTTCCAATCCATTTTCTTTCAATTCATCAACACCACATGAAAAACAAGCAATTTTCAACCTCATATTGAAATTCATAAAAGACAGAGTTAGTATATAAATGTGAGGCATGCTTTTCTATCCCTAGTGGTGTTTTGCACTCAGGATATTTGTGCTTTGAATCATTATAATTCTGACCTTGAGTGTGTCTCTGGGCATCAATTGCAGCTTCATATCTCAAGTAAAACTCAACAAGTGACACATGAGGATTGATAAAGGAGCAAAAAAAGTTGTTTTCGCTTTCGGATCTTGATGTTGTACGCATTATTCCTCCAAGGAACACATCTCTGAAATACGCCGGAATCCACTTGTTCCTTATCTTGTACATATAACCTAACCACTCATGTTCTTCCAAGTGGTATTCAACCATCACCTTGTTCCACCTTTCTTCAAACTCAGCAGGTTCAATTTCAAGATGCCAAACACAAGCACATAATTTTTTTAGGAAATCAGTTTCTTCTTGCATGATTGATTTCTCCACCTTATCTGGTAACTTTTTCATTATGTGCCACATACAGAAGCGATGTTCAGTTTTGTTAAACACACTTTTTAACAGCAATTTTTTCATTGCTGAATCTTGATCTGTAATCATACAATTCGGTTCATTTCCACCCATTGCCTTGAGAAATGATCTGAACAACCACTCAAATGACACTATATCTTCCTTTGCTATGAAACCAGCAGCAAAAGTAATGCAGCTCTTATGATGGTCAACCCCTGTAAATGGAGTAAACACCATGTTGTACCTGTTTACACATACAGATTAAATTTTAAATGATCAAATAACTACACACACACATAAATACACAGACACACGTACTTAGACACAGACACACACACGCACACACACATATACACATACATACACGCACTCACAATCTGTGATAGAATCTAAATTCAGATTATGAAATCAGAATTGTCATCAGCTACTGAAATAATTCAATGCTCATTTGACAAATGGGCAAATAATTGATTGTTCATTTGTCAAATGAGCTTATAACTCAATGCTATTGTTTGCTTTTTTGTCAAATGAGCAAATAATTGAACGCACATTTCTGAAATGAGCAAATAAGTCAATGCTCATTTGTGAAATAAACAAACAGTTATACTAAGTTCATTTAAAACAAAGTTATTAATTTAAGCTATAGTTATAACATAAAAAATGATTTGTGATTTTTATGAATTACCTATTGGTTTGGTATGTGGTATCAAAGGATACCATAATCACCAAATAGAGCGTAAATCTTTTTACAAAGGGGATCAGCCCATAATGCTCTACAAAGGCAATAATCATCATCCATCTCAAAATCAAAGAAAAAAGCGCTCCACATTAACTTTTTGTTGGTAAAGTTATCCACGAACATTTGAGCATCACTTCCTTGAATGTATGCTTTCAAAATCTCTATGAAATTTTTTGAAATCTTGCTTAGATGCACCGATGTTATCATATCCTCCAACAATTTCCTTCATCATTCGAAAAGTTGTAACAGGCACCAATATTCACCTATTTAAAGAACAAAACAGTTTGTCAAATGAGCAAATAATTTAATGCTCATTTTTTCAAATGAGCATACTACTTTTATTAGAACATACAGAGAATTCATGAAACATAAGAGGCTTTGAAAAGTCGTACCTTAGAATTATTCACAATTATTTTTTTGTGCAATATGTTCATTTTTCTTCCTTCTTTTTGGAAGAGATTGCAACTAGGTGTATAAAGTGGATGAGTATGTCCCTCATGAAATTGTGACACTATGAATTTGTTATCATCACAATGCTTTTATGATTAATATGTGCCTTTGCACCAACACGAGTAACGAGTCTCTTCCTTTTGATTGAAGTTTTTTCTTCATTGCTTTCTCCTTCGTTGTTATTTAAATCTTTTTCAACAGTAGGCTTTCTTTTCTCTTTGTATCCTTCTTTATTGCATAAGATATACTGTGATTTCAATTCTTTGCTTCTTCTTTGCCTTTTAGTTGTAGATTTTCTTTGTGTTGAATCCAGCAGCAAATGCATATCTTTTATAAAATTCAAGGCCCTCTTCAAGATTATTAAACTTCATCCCTATAGCTGGTTTCAACTCATTGGGGCATATTGGAAGCCATTCTTTTGTTCCTCCAGGAGTGAGCAAAGGTGCTACTTTAGGAGAAACTACTATTGTAGGAGTAGTTGCCACATTTGTGATGGTACTAGAATGACTGTCAAGTTCTTCATTGTTGCTCATCATTTCTGAAATCAGATTCAGAATTCAGAATTGCAAACAGAAAGATGAGGGGGGGGGAATAGGTTTTGTATAAGTAAGTGTAAGAAGGGAATGTGGTTGGTGTGCAGGAAATAGACAAGAAGAAGGGGTGGGGCTTGTGTGCAGGCAAGAAAACCAAGGAACTCAATGATTTGATATCAGAAATGATGATTTGAAAAGGAGTAAAACTTGATAATGCTACCCTTCAATATGTTTTGCAAAACCTAGCATATATAGCATTCAGTATAGCATAGTATAGCATATTTGCCAGCAAAAACCATACATTCTTAGACACACACACACACTCTAACACATGCCTCTTACACTCACTTACACACACACACACACA